TTCTGCTGTCGGAAAAGTGACAGGTGGTCAGGTTTACAGCCATGATTCAGGTAGAAATGTGTTCATCGGTAGAGAATTGTACAGTAGTTAGTAGTTAGTAGTAGTAGTAGTTAGTAGTTAGTAGTAGTAGTGTTAGTAGTAGTAGTAGTTAGTACTTAGTAGTAGTTAGTAGTAGTTAGTAGTTAGTAGTGTTAGTAGTAGTTAGTAGTTGTTAGTAGTAGTTAGTAGTTAGTAGTTAGTGTTAGTAGTTAGTAGTAGTAGTGTTAGTAGTTAGTAGTAGTTAGTAGTAGTAGTTAGTAGTAGTAGTAGTTAGTAGTAGTTAGTAGGTAGTAGTAGTAGTAGTTAGTAGTAGTTAGTAGTTAGTGGTAGTTAGTAGGTTGTTAGTAGTTAGTAGTTAGTAGTAGTTAGTAGTTAGTAGTAGTTAGTAGTAGTAGTAGTTAGTAGTTAGTAGTAGTTAGTAGTTAGTAGTAGTTAGTAGTTAGTAGTAGTTATTAGTAGTTAGTAGTAGTTAGTAGTAGTTAGTAGTTATTTTTCTTCTTTACTTGCTTGAAAGCGCTTTGAGCACCAGGAAAAGCACTATATAACCTGAATTGCGCAGAATATGTCGAGTGACATTGAAAAAATAAGCACTCTGTCAAGTACTTTGACTGGATATCAGACCCCCTAGTCTCATATACTCTAACTCGCCCCCTTCCTCCACTTTTTTCTCTTCTCTGACCTCTCCAGGTTCCTGTTTGAGCACCTCTCGGTGGATAACTGTCTGGGGATGTATTCTCTGGCTCGCTCTCACCACGACCAGCTGCTGCTACGCGCCACGCTGCGTCTCGTGGCTCAGCACTTCCCCCGAGTCGCCCGTCAGAAGGACTTCCTGCTTCTGGACCACGGCACGCTGGGCAGCCTGCTGAGCTCCGACCGGCTTGGTGTGGACTCGGAGGCGGAGGTTTACGACGCGGCGCGGCGCTGGGCGGAGCACCAGCCTTTAGATCGCTACGCCCACATGCCGGCGCTGCTGCACCACCTCCGTCCGGGGCTGCTGTCCCAGGAGGAGAGCCGGAGACTCTGCCAGGAGCTCGGCCCCGCTGCCGCCGGCGAGGCCCTCGGGGGGCCGCTGAGGCCGCGGGAGGGCATGTTCGAGAAGAAGATCGTCTGCGTGGACCTGACGCCTCGGGAGGACGAGAGCGCCGCCTCCAGAGAACTCACCGTGGACTGCTTCGACCCGCGGACAGGGAAGTGGGAGAAGCTGGCGGCCCTCGGGTCCCTGGTGAGCCCCGGCTGCACCGCTGTGGGGGACCGGCTGTTCGTGGCGGGGGGGATCCTGAGGACGGGCTCCGTGTCGGCAGCCGTGCACGAGTATGACGCCGTGCTGGACCGCTGGATGGAGCGGCCCCCCATGGTGCAGCCGCGGTCCATGCTGGGCCTGCTGGGCTGCGGGGACTCCATCTTTGCGTTGGGGGGCAGCAACCGCTCCGCCCTGCTGGACTCCAGTGAGACCCTGGACCTCTCGACGCTGCGCTGGGCCCCGGGGCCTCGCCTGCCGCTGCCTCTCAGAGCCTTCGCCTGCGCTGCTCTACGTGGACGTCTCTACCTGCTGGGTGGAACCACGCTGGAACAGAACCGGGCCGTGGTGCATTCAGGGGTCCTCGTCTATCACACCCTCACAGACTGCTGGACTCGCGTGGCTCTGGACTCGGGGGCCACCTGCCTCGCCGGGGGGGTCGCGGTCCGAGGGGGCGTCTGCGCCATCGGGGGATACATGAGGGACACCACCAAGTTTCTGGACGGAAACTACACTAACCTGGAGACTTTAGACGCCACGGGGCGGGTTCTGTTCTTCAGGGAAGGGCGGGGGTCCGGGGCAGATAGGGAGGTAACC